GATAATCTTAGATGGCAAGCAAGATGCTCCTATAGCTATAAGTTTCAAAATGAAATTATTGTTTATGACTAGTGCTAGTGCTATTGTTAATCTTTGGATTGGTCATTATGGTGGGGTCGGGATGCAGGTGCTCGGATATGGCTGGGCTGGGCTGCTAAGGAAGTATGTGGTGGAGCCGGCGCACATGTGGTGGCCTAGCACCTTGGTGCAAGTGTCACTTTTCAGGTACCTTCCTAAATTCTACCTTCTCATGCTCTCAGAGGCCGGACTCACTGTGCCACAGTTTTTTTTCACTTTGACAGATCCTGAGTTAGTTTTCACACGAAATCAGTTTCTTCAATAACGAGTCGAACTCACCAAAGCCTGTAAAACACCAGTCTGACTTTGACACCTAAAGTCATTTACTCCTTATTCTATACTACTTAAAAAGTTTTGGGTCAGTTGTAATTAAACAATTAAAATTTTGCAAAATCATAAATTAATTCTAAAAAATTACTACTGGCATATTTATTTGTTAGTGTTCGTTTTAACTTGACAGAGAGAAACTTGAATTAGGGGTTAGAAAAAGAACAAACGAACACTATGTGAACTGTCAGAATCTACAGAGTACAGCGCTCACAGAGCAAGACCAAAGTGGACATCGACGGAATCTCGACTGGGTTGGGTCCGTCATTCAAGGCATGGAGTAATAGTGTCATCGCTTAGCGTCCACTTGCCAGTCTTTTGTCCTTTTATTTAAGTATTGCTTTTTGTTTTCATCTGATGTGTCACTATTGTAAGAGTCAATGGTTGCACCGTCAAAGATGCTCATGGGTCACATGAGATGGGACTCTCTTGCGGCGCCCACGCGTGAGCTGCTCCATGCTTTATCAGCCCATTGCTCAAAACCAAAGCAAAAGGGTTTACTCACAAGTCTCGACCAAGCTTGTTTTTACCCTTTCTCTATTTATATTTTTATCAGCCATGCAATTGTTACGAGTTAAGAGGATGAATTAGGGTGATGACACTTTGCAGACATGGCTTGTTTTTAGAATATGAACACATGTTTAAGTGAGACTTTACAAGTTCATTAAGAAAAGATGGCGATGGCGATGGCGACCCAAGAAGCATAGTTTTAGTTTGCATCAAATAATAACACAGTGAGAGTGGCTAGTTGAACCTTTTTCTTGGATTTTCTTTTCTTTTTGGCCCATGTGGTTACTCATATCACATGTGAACTCATAAACAAGTGGCAGCTATATAGGTAAGATAGTTGAAATTTTAAAGATGGAAGTCAGCATAGAATTATTAGGTTCAAATCTTGGTGTAATACCTTTTCTCTTTTTGTGCCAAAAAACATACAGACGCCTTCCATGACTTCTGCTGTAAGAATTTACAATTAGGTCAGCAAAATGGAAAATTAGTAGTGTGTTTTTTAGACCTTAATAGCACTTTCAGAGGTTCACTCAATGTTTTGGCCTCCAGGGAACTTAAAACAAATTTATGTATTGGCTTACCATATGTGGAAAGTAAGATGGTGGTTAAACCCAAGCCTTTGGTTGAGGAAAAAGAAAAGGAAACACCCAAACAATGGTTGATAAGCGTCTAATTAAGCTCTGTAGGAGGGATTGTGAAACAAACTTAAGAACTAAATTAGTGATAGATATTGACTTAATCACTAATCAATGGCCAGTCCTTACTAGTCTAACACGACAATGATGATATTGCCCTGTCAAGTAGCAAACTTTAATACTTCTAACCCTCCAGTGGCTGCATCAACTACAGCAATTAAAATAGGAGGATCCATTAAAACATCAGTAATTATGGTATGCAGCAGTTTCATACTGTCATGCACTTCATATTTCATGCTGATCATGTCATGGACCATGTGCGCTGTATCATAGAAATTTATCAGTCAATCCGTTGCACAATGTTTAAAACCCAATCATGTAAAAAGAAAGCAGAAATGCTCATTATTCAGATGTAAAACCTGCATACATACATAAAGTCAGCAAAGTGATAGTATCCTGAATTGTAAACTCTTTGATCTAAATTTGCAGGGCTTTGCATGAGAAAGATGATCAGCGAATGACAAGGGCAAAGTTCTTCCTCATTGTACTAATTTGCAGCTTCTCCTGGTACCTGGTCCCAGGGTACCTCTTCACGACCCTTACCAGCATCTCATGGGTCTGCTGGATTTTCTCCAAGTCAGTTACCGCCCAGCAAATTGGTTCAGGTCTGAGGGGACTTGGACTAGGAGCCGTGACGCTTGATTGGTCTGCTGTAGCATCCTTCTTGTTCAGTCCACTCATCAGCCCTTTCTTTGCCATTGTCAATGTTTTTGCAGGCTATGTATTGATAATTTACATAGCAATTCCTGTAGCTTATTGGGGTCTAGACTTGTACAATGCTAGCAGATTTCCCATATTCTCATCTCACTTGTTTACAGCCAAAGGTCAAAAGTACGACATAACAGCAATCGTTAATGACAAGTTTGCAATCGATTTAGTGAAGTATGAAGAGCAGGGACGAATTAATCTAAGCATGTTCTTTGCTCTCACTTACGGGTTTGGTTTTGCCACCATTGCATCGACGCTGACACATGTGGCCCTCTTCTATGGAAGGTAAATTATACTCATCATTTTTAGAAGCTTCTTCATATAGACTTTATTTTTAAATTTATATACTAGAACTTAAAGAAGAAGAATCCTGACCACATTTGATAAAATGAAAACCAAAAATTTTCCAACAAAATAATTTCACTCTCAGCGTTCACTCACCTCCTTTACTCCCATGCTACGGATACAGGAGTGAAGGGAGTAAGTTTGGGGAGTGAAAATTTCATTCACCATTTATAAATCCTTGATAGTCTAATAGTTTTATTGGTCTATTTCATTTCAAAAGGTATTCAATTTTCCTTTTTTGATTATACCAAGAATTGTCTGAGTTATAATAGTAGTTTTATGAGAACATTAACATATGAATGTTATCTACATGTTCCATTTCCCAGTATACCATATAAGCACCAAAATAAAATTGAACCAATAATCAAAAATCTTTCCTCCAACTATACTCAATATTAAATGCAAGAACAAAGCAGGGAATATAGAAAACTCTGATCACAGTACCAGAAGCAAAGATTTTTTTACATGTAAAATCATTCAAAAAGAAAAACGAAAAATAAAATGGTAATTCCTTTTGTGTTCTTAAGTTCTGAAATTTAAATCTTCAGAAAAGTCACTATTGTCAAACTATTATCAACAGGGAGATATATGACCGGTATCGTGCTTCTTACACGGGAAAGGAGGATATTCATACAAGGTTGATGAAAAATTACAAGGACATACCTTCCTGGTGGTTTTACATATTGCTTACTGCAACATTTGTAGTATCGCTTGTCCTCTGTATCTTCTTGAAAGACCAGGTTCAGATGCCATGGTGGGGACTACTCTTTGCTGGTGCCATGGCCTTCGTCTTCACCCTTCCGATTAGCATCATAACTGCCACAACAAACCAGGTAATCAATTCATTTAGAACAATAAAATAGAATAAAATTCCGTCCACCCCCAGAAGATAAAATGTCAAATTTCAGCTAAGAAAAATTAAAATCCTCAAATCTCTGGTAATATTTTAACTCAACAGTTCCAAGATAACATTCCACACTTTATGATAAATCTGGAACTTAAGCAAACTTTACCTTGTCTTTAACTATGAAGAATCTGCTATTTTTCTATTAATGCTTTCACTCATCATGGACAGACACCAGGCTTGAACATTATTACAGAGTATGTAATGGGTCTCATATATCCAGGAAGACCTATTGCAAATGTATGCTTCAAAACCTATGGTTATATGAGCATGGCTCAAGCAGTCTCCTTCCTTAATGATTTCAAGCTGGGACACTACATGAAGATACCTCCAAGATCCATGTTCTTGGTACAGGTACGTTTTCTTCTATCTATGAAGAATATCTCAATAAAACAAGAAAACAAGGTCTTAAAAACCACTAAAATGATCTTGATAAACTATTAAGGTATCAGTACAAGGTTTAGAAACAAAAACAAAAGCACTGCATAGCTCTATATCAACAAATTCTGATCAAACTAGGAATCAACCTTACTTATATCAGACAAAAGGCTGGTGATAGTTGTTGTCAAATATTTATATAAAAGAAAGTATCACTAAGGAGTGTTCAAAAGATTTTGATGTCTATGCTGTCACAAATAAAAAGACATCTTGTTTCTCTAGTGATAAGCCCTTTGTACTGGTAAATTATGAATATCAATAACAATTATTTAAAAATAAAACAGGTCCAAAGTATGAAACAAATTATAACAGAATGAATACTTTTTAACCTAACAGATGATATGGTTTCCATCAAAACTCCATGCCTTCAGCTCAATAATTAATATAACTTATCTGAGGATGATCCTGTACACACATTTTTTTTCAGTTTTCCAGTGTTTTCTTTACATGCACGGCAGCTGATACAATTTACATCTCTTGCAATTTCATCTGCTTATCTATAGTTCATAGGAACGGTTCTAGCTGGAACTATCAACCTTGCAGTAGCATGGTGGTTGCTGAACTCTATTGAGAACATATGCCACGATGATCTCCTCCCTGCTGACAGTCCCTGGACATGCCCTGGTGACCGAGTCTTCTTCGATGCATCAGTTATATGGGGTTTGGTGGGACCCAAACGAATCTTTGGATCTCTAGGAAACTATCGCGCAATGAATTGGTTCTTCGCTGGAGGTGCAGTAGGACCTGTCATTGTTTGGCTCTTGCACAAGACATTTCCCAAGCAATCTTGGATTCCCCTAATTAACCTTCCAGTCCTTCTAGGAGCAACAGGGATGATGCCACCAGCAACACCACTAAACTACAATGCCTGGATTATAGTTGGAACTATTTTCAACTTTTTCATCTTCCGTTACGGAAAGCAGTGGTGGCAAAGGTACAATTACATTCTTTCAGCAGCTCTAGACGCTGGGGTGGCCTTCATGGCAATACTATTGTACTTCTCGGTGGGAATGGAAAATAGAAGTTTGACATGGTGGGGCACAGGTGGTGAACATTGTGAATTAGCAACTTGTCCAACAGCCAAGGGAATAGCAGTTGAAGGTTGTCCAGTGAACTAATGAATGCACTCCCCTGTTAAATCTTTCAAGAGTTTAACACCACAGAATTAGAAGGACCCAAAAGGTATAGTTAAAAAAAATTAAGGCATCACCAGAGTTTTATGTGTTATATGGAAGATATTGTTCAAGAAAAAATTTCCTTAACATTCAGATGCATTCTTTTGGATTTATTCCTTAACAAAAGAGCAAGTTTATGTCCAAAGAAAATCAACATCAGCACCAGAAGTGTCAATTTCGGAATACTTTATGAAATACAAAAGAAAGTTTGCTGTTCTCTTTGTGATTAAGCAAAAATATTTGAAACTTCCAGTGGAATTTTCTAATGTCAGCTAGCCAAAATCAAAAAGGGAAAATGTATGTCCAGACAAACAAATATATATAGGAGATGAGATCGTCTACCTATTTAATTTTATTAGATTACATAATTATCAAGTGAGTGCCTCTAGGACACATTTTATACCTTGATAATCATCACATGTTTACAGACCGCCACTGATTATACTCATCCATTCTTATTATAAAGGAGCTGGAACTTGGGCAGCCACCTCCGCCATATGCCTTCAAGTTTACAGAGGGAAAGAAAATCACAAAATAGTCATATACAATAAAGATGAACTTATAATTGCATAACTTATGATGCCCACCTTTGCAACTTCAGATGTATCAGTTGCAGAATCAGTGCTCCTTAGACACATCTTAAGATTATTCCGTTGCATGTATATAACAGCTCCTATGGGCCTGACATCATCAATGCATATACTTTAAGACCATGATCAATCTAGCTTGATTAGAAAAGAGCTAATGATACCACATGGAGAATTTTGTTTGTTCAGAAGGGAGTCTTCAGCCTTAAAGATCTTATCTAAGACAAATTACCTTAGTCCAGCTGTGGCACTTTTTAGACTTAGTTGCTTGCCAATTTCATCACTTAAATCAGAGTTGCCATCTGCTCTAACTCCCTAGAACCAGAGTAAAAGGCAAAATTAACTCAGAGAATATTGCAGAAAAGAAAAGAGAAAAGAGGCAAGGGAGAAGGGAGAAGGGAGAAGGGTATGGCCAAGGGAGATTTGGCGAAGAGACACACACTGCTTATGTAATGTAACACGATATAAGTCAAACAAATAAAACAAACTCCACAGATTTCATTGATCATATCTGTAACTCAGAAAATGATAACTGGGATCCTAAATCTCAAAAGTAAACCACTTATGACAGGAAAAGAATATGTATTTCAGGGATGACTATCTGAAACGCTTTGATATGTCATTACTAGGCACTCTCCATAGAATCCTCTGCCCAAGCGAACTTTAAACGACTTATCCAGCAACTTGTTTGCAACAATCTGGCGAGAGGAAATATACAGATTTCCCTTGGCAACCAAATCAGCAGAACTGATCTCCAGTAACTGCAATAGAGACAAAAGACTTCAGAGTTAAAATAAAAACAGAAGATTAAACAAAGTGTTGATGAGGGAAGAGAAGAAAGAGGGGAGGAGCATCGGAGGAGTTCAACAATAATCATCCATACACCTTTCAAATGCCAATTATGCAAGTTAAACATGCTAAGTGTTAGCAACTGAGAAGCTAAGAGCTGCCGGGTAAACAATTATGGAAATTTTGAAAATTTTAACACCATTTCTTCATCTAAAAAACATAATAAGACAAGTGATCAAGGTTTGTCTTCAACCAATGAAACATAGTCCAACCAGTAATAAAAGAAAAGGATCAATTTCTGAGCACCGAACCTGTTTATACATGTATGGATTAGTGATGCAATTCAACTTGGAACGCCATTCACCAAGTCCAATTCTAAAAGCTTTAATTTCTGTTATGCTCCATCTGTGAAGATCTGCATCTTCGATATACTTTAGAACTGTTTCCACACGATCTCCATCTTCTGAGTTCAACAAATTGGCAGCCTTCACCTTATTGGAATTAAGCAAAATTAAAAACAAACGCCCAATCTTTAGGTCTCGTATATACATACACAAATCGCTCTAGTAAAGCACAGCAAAGATATACAATAATGACATTCACACTTACATCAAGAGACATAATATTCGCAAGCTTACTAGAAAAATACTCATATACAGCAATGGAGCTACTCTTCTCAAGATTGACATTAAACGTGACTCTCAGATCCTCGGAACAGTTAATTTGAGGAAGTGCTGATTTTCGATGATCAAATGCTATTACTCTACGATTTTAAATAATTACAGTGTCAATCTAGTTTGTAAAATGAAATGATTATTGAAAATTAATAAGGAAAATTTGAATTTAACTTACTCACACATTGATTGTTGTGAAAGCTTTGAGGCAAACCCTTTCGGACCGACAAAGTCGAGAAGATAACACTTGTCTAGTCCTTCAACATAAAAATCTTCGACCCTGTAAAAATCAATAAGTAAATGAATATTTAGATAATTTTGAGTCCTGAGATTTTAAACGTCGGATTTAGAACCTGAGGGGTTCAACGAAGGAGAAAGGCAAGATGAGGCAAGGGAGACTAAGACGGGAGTGGAAGAGGTGAGCGAAGAGAGCGGAGAATGCGCCAGAAAATGAAGGGTAGTTATATAGCACCACATTTGGGACTTTCTCTTCAGCTGCTCTCTTTATTGCTTCTACTGCCGCGTCTGATCGAAAGCTTCGACGCCATGAACTTGGAGCATGCAATGAAATTGCATTCGCCCTCCATTTTCCACCGAGCCAGAGAGCCATGTCACGGGCGATGTCCAGTGAACTGTCAACTCCACTGACTTGGGTCTTTGTTGAATGGTTATTAGGGCTCAATATTTGTGCCGATGATGCAAACGTAAGGGTCACTCATCCTTAGAACCCAATTCTTCTGGGCTCGGAGAGGATCATCATGTTGTCAACAAGAGTTTCCCTTCTCTATTAAAACTTTTGGACTAAAAAAGTTTAGCCCAAATTTAGAGGATAAATAAAAATTCAAATCAAACTTGAAAATTATGTAAATAAATAATGTATTTTTTTGGACTCAGTAAATAAATAATGTATTTATATTTATATATATATCATATTAAATAATATTAAAAATTAAAAATTCAATTAACCTTGCAAATCATTATAATCTAAGTTTGATAAAATTTGATCTTTACTGGACTCAACTCAAACAATTTGAGTTTAACTTGATATTGAACCAATTAAATTCTAGAACTTATCAAATAAAATTCACATAATTCATAAATAATTAAATTTATTTATATTCATAGATAAAACAATATAAAGATGCATCCAATCTATATTCTGAGTAGTAATAGGTTACAAATTTTTGAATTCTTTGTTAGGAAAGATTGTTGAATATTTAAAACACTTTCGGATGAAGACAATTTTAATTTCATACAGGTATAAGGCAGTAAAATGTTTATTAAATATAGATTAAAAATGTTTACACTCTCTCTTGGGTTATAACACCGGCTCTAAAGTTTCTAGAGCCATTTGAATTGGCTTGCTAATTATAATTATAATTATAATACCATTGAATTCATTGAATATCGAACGCTGGTTTTGCAGCAGCGTTTGTCGATAGAAATAGAGTGAAAAAAGGACGATACTGGACGATCACTTTGTTAAACAGTCTTTAAGCAAATATAGAGTAAACGAATAATACTAATGAAACTTCAAACTAAAAGTTTTCTACGTCTTTTTCTCTCCTTCATGCAAGTTTATATATATATATATATATATATAAAGGTTTTTAATTTAAAATATTTAATTTTTATAATGTATTTAAAATAATAATAAATTTTAATTAAAACTTCAACATGATTGTTTATTTATTTTTCTCTATTTTCATTTTTAAAACTATTAAAATATTAAAAATTTATAATTAAAACTTTAATATGATTATTTAATTTTAATTTAATTATTTTTATTTTTAAAATTTAAATATTTTATTTATTTAAAATATTAATAATTCATAACTTTAATATAATTTTTTTTAATTTCATTTTATTTTCCACTATTTTTATCTTTCTCTTTCTTCTTTTCTTTTCTTTCCATCAACCAACTATCCAAAATATGACCGACACAATAGAGTGGTGGTCGGGCACTCTTTGCAGACAAATCTAACTACTAGAGCACCGAATCGATATTTCTCATGATCAGATCTAATCATAGAAATGTTGATCATCACAATTATGGAAAGATTCATTGAAGGATGACACAATTTGGAGAGAAAAAAAGAGAGGCAGATAAGAGAGGAAAAGACAGAGTAAAATGAAAAGTTTTTATATACTATAATTAAGTTTTATTACATACAAAATAGTAATTTCACAAAATAATTAAAAATATTTTTATATGAAATTTTTTAATTCATTCTGTGAGGTCTAGAATAATTATTATCAGAGGAAATTGATAATAATTATTTTGATTTTTTTAATGATTATTTTTTAAAATAATTATTTTGTAAATCAAGCGTAGTAGGAAATGGAATAACGGTTCCCCGAACCAAACATGTACAATATTTTATTCTCTCAGAAGGCCACTCGTGACTAGAGCAATCATACAGGACTTCTTGCAGATGACAACTGGCTGGTTGCTTCTTGTCCCGATTCCCGCCGCCCCCGCTTTCAAGGTCAAAAACCAAGTCGCCCACCAACATTTTGGGGGCAATGGATAAACGTCAACGCAAACAGCCCTTCTTGAAGTTTGCAATACTAGCAGTGCAATAAATGTTCAGCAAACTGTAAAATTAATAACAGAAGCGGATTGCCTGTTTCTGAATCCCAGCAAAACCCTTTGTTTTATGATTGTGGGCTTATAATTTAACTGAAGGGCTGTTTCCCAATGGCCCCATAAAAAGGTTATTTGACAGAACCAAATTCCCTTTAAAAAAATACTAAAATAGAGATAAGAAAGGACCCACGTTACATTAAGAAAACAAAATTTAACAAACCACTTGTCAAGTTGCAGCAGTTGCTGTCAAACTCCCCACATATAAATCTCCCGGACTCCGACTGTCTAGATAACTTTTTCAATTCTTCGTTATATGGTTCTACGTACCTAACCAATTTAAGGCACTGTTCTCTTTTCAGGGTCCTTGAAGTTGTCCTCAGTTTGCCTTCCATGTGGATGACTCTGGCCATGCAGAAGCAACAGCAATTTCCGAGATTGTTAGAACTAGTTTGGCCCAACATTTATGTCAAAGTTTCAAGCCTCTCTGTTTTAGGTTGGTTTTTTTTTTTTTACTTTATACTAATACATAGGTCGATTTGCATTTTATTACAGTGCATTAGTAAACGAATAGGTTTAAAGGAGAAAAAAAAGTGAAAGAAATACTGAAATTGCATCACTTATATATTTTTTCAATTACTTATATACTTATTTAATATATATATATATGTATATCACAGATTTTACATGAGTAAGAGATATAGTGGGTATTGAAAATATAAATATAAATCTTTCATAACTTATTAGATTTTTTTTAAAATTAAAAATATGAATTCGTGATTTATAAATCTATTTAAGTTTTATTTTCAGAACTTAAAGTCGTACGAGACTATGGAGTTAAGTTTAAGTTTCAATCTGTCACATTTGATATCAGAGTAGATTTCACATCGAATTTTCATTAATGTGAAGCTCTTATGAAAGATATAAAGATCGAGATAAACTCAAATTAGTGTAAAAGTTATTTCCCTTTGCAGGTAGAGGGTCAATAAGAAATGGAGTGGTTTTCAGTATATAAATATGAGTATTTTATTATATATCATACATATTTGTTGAATTAAGAGCATAAATCATGATTTATAAATTTACTTAAAATCGTACGAAATTGGATTTAAATTTTAATTTTTAACAAGTAATCAAATAATTATTTTACTCAAATCCTTTTTTATTAATAAATAATATTTAAGAGACAATTTTCAAGTGAAATAAAATAAAAATTGTGATGAAACAAAACCAACATGGTATCTAACCGTGAACAACTTATTACAAGAATCTTAAAGTTTACAAGCTAATTCCCCTCATCGGTTTATGATGTAGTTACATTAATTTTTCATGAATATGATGGAAGTAGTGCTTAATTTTATTTGATCACATGTTTTGTTGACATGTATGTTCTTTGCTTAACCTTAGATGTTACGAAATTAGCGAGGTTAATGTTTTTTGTTTTCTAATATTAGTATCATTTCATGTGAACTTATTACGGTCTAATTATTCAATCATATAGTAAAAGCAGCTATCAAAAAATAAAATAATATTTAATACGAAATAAATAATGCTCAAATTATATTTACTTTCAAATATAATTGTATTATGAATAAGAAAAAGACCCAATGTAAACAAAAATTAACAAGGTAATACTGCAAATTCCTCTTTGATTTTTATGTAATTATAGTTATTTAAATAAATATATGATAAAAAATAAAAAATATAATAACATTAATTATTGGGTCAAAACACATTAAATTTCTTTGATTCATACCAATTATCAGTATTATTCTAGTTGCTGTTTCGTTTTAATTATTCTTTTTCCTCGGGAGATGTGTTACGTTAATTGAATGAATCCGAGATTGTGTGGCGGGCTAATCGAGTAAAACAGACCGCAGAGTGCAGAGCTAAGCCTGATGGAGTTGGCTGTTTCCTTTAATATACACAAAAGAACTCCCATAAGGTCTCAAACTTCACTTTAAATACATCGTTACATGTAAAAGTGCAGCTTCCTTGCTCCCACCATGTGCCCTTTTCTTTCTACTCTGAACTTCCATTCACTCCCCGTTGCCACGACCATCCTTACTTTCTCACTTGGATAATTACCACGTGTTTAATACTTTTAAATTAACTTATTTTTTGGGTTTAATTTGTGTCACGAGGCTTTTTTATTTATTTATTATTGCAGTAACGTCGGAAGCAGTTTTTTTCTTATAGAATTAATCACAGTATTTACCTTGTTCTTTCTAAAAATGAAATTTAAAACTTTCAATCAAAAATTTTAAACTCTAACCTACCTTTTTGATTAATTATTTATTTACTTAAATACCATAAAATTTTAAAACCTTTTAAATCATGTATAACGGATCCAATTCATATTTTATTTTTATCTCCTCAATTAAGTACTCTTAGATTCTTAGAAAATAGTTAACATCAACTGCTCTTGCATCATATGTTTTATAATCATAGTATTATAGTCGAAAGATTCAAACTCCATTTTCGTGTATTTTTTTATTTGTTATTTGCTTATAAAAATGAATAAAAAGAAAGAAAATGAATTGAAAATAAATCATGTTATATGTGAGTTATAATTTTTTCATAAATTAAATAATTAAGTAACGAATACATGTAATATTGGGTTGCAATAAGCTGTAACACTTTCTCATCTTGTACATCTCATTTTGAGATTTGAATTTAAAATCTATAAGTTAAAGTTTTGAGTCCTAATCATAATGTTGCCTTTTTGGAGACAATGTTTATAATTAATTGATACCTGCTTTATGTAAACTATATATTGTTAATTATTTCTCTTATCCGCTTAAAATATATTACATAAATTTTTATATTATTAATTGATAATTATAATGATGGAGTACTGGATTTTCATTAGGTTGTAATTTTAATAAATATATTGATTAACCAATAGTTAACTCATATGAATCCAAAAAATAGGGTTTGTTTATATGTAAACGGATATTAAAATTAAATTGCGATAAATGTTTTATATGATTAAATTAAATTTTTATGTATCAAATAATTGTTAAATTTCAATAATACAAAAAACTTTAAATAATACTTAACTTTTTATTTAATTATATTTACCTTTGCTTATATTAAAACAATCTTACATGGAGTTGTTAGCATTGGAGATAATTAAACTAACAGATATAATTGACTTTTTTTTTAGTGTAGCAGAATGCTAATGTAAAAAGAATGGGTTCGAAGCACAAAATAAAAGCATAATGTTTAAATAATTTTAATTTTTTTTATTTTTATTATATTTAATTAAATTTTTATATTTTTAGTTGAATTAAATAAATTTTTATAATTAATTATTAAATAATAATTATTAATTAAAATATTATTTATTATTCTATATTGACATGATATTAATGTGAAGAGTACAAAATGTCATATGATCATATTATTATGTTATCATGTTAAATTAACATATTACGATATGATCTATTAAGATATATCAGTATACCAAATTATTATTACTTATGATATGTTAAAATGTCATGTGGTATAAAATGATAAATGATATTTTGATTAAATTAATCATTAGTTATATAATTTTATTTAATTTAAAATAAAAATATAAAAATTTATTTTATTTAAAATAAAAATATTAAAAATTAATTAAATATAATAAAAATATAAAAACTTGTTTAAAATTTATTGAATAATTTAAAATTTTCTTTAAATGTTATGTTAAAAAAGAAATACAATTAAAAAATAAAATACTTCTTCCTGTTTTGTAATTTTCGCAGTATTAGCAAAATTATTAGTTAAAAAAATATTAAAAAAATGAATTTAAAAAGTTTACATGTTTAGTGGCGTTGATTAGGAATTAGGATCACCGTCTTCTTCGCTCTTTACCCCTACAAAATGCCCCAGCCTCTAAAAATAGAAGAGCGTATAAAGCAAAAACAAAAAAAAAAAAAGGTCAAAAAACAAGGGGTCAACCTGGTCTTAAATCTCACAAAACTAGGCGATTAAAGAAACGACAGCTGTCCAAGTACACATCCTTTACATAATCCTGTTTGTAGAGAAGCTACAGGTGTTTCCCTATTTAAACAGCGACTCGTATCTGTTGGCGCAGATATTTTTTTCTCTCTCTACATTACGATGATTTTGATAATACAGGAGGGACAGTACCTTTCATTTTTGGTTCCAGGAACCAAAGCAACATAGATCTATCTCCATCTCTCCTTTTCCCTTTTCTATAGCTGTTTCTCCCTCGTTTCCTCTGCACTTTGATTTCCTTTTCGTACAGTTTCCATCCTTATGAAGGCTTTCTTCGAGCACTTTCATGACGATCGGTGCGGGTTAATTTTGACTTTGTCAAGGGCATATTTTTTTGTTTTGATTCCCCTAAATTCATTTTTTCCACTTTCTCCTTTTCCCTGTAAATCTTTTGTTTCTTCATATACTGTTTAATGTTTCAAGGTTCGGTTAGGTCAGTGCCTTCAAAAGTTTCTTCGAGAAAGTGCTTAATATGCTTTTGAGTTTCGTCGGACTTAATTATTTGTAAGTATAAGCTCTTGTTATCATACGTTTTACTTTGCTTTTTCTTTTAAATATACAAGTTCACGTATATAAACTTTGTATATGATCGTTTATGTTGTTTGATTTCTTCTTTTCATACTGTTACGAGTCTCACATGTTTTCTTGACTTAATATTGTTGAATTAGTGAATTTATTATTATTGAAATCTTATGTTTTTCTGTTTCCTACCTTTTCTACTGTTCTTTTTTCTTTCCTACTTAATCCCTGTACTGGAATCTGGAAAACATACTAGCTACTACTACCTACACTCTACTATGCGTTTTTACGGCCACTAAAATTGCACTCAAGAAACTAAAAATCATCAATAAATGGTTTTTTTTCTTGATTTTGAAATTGCTGATGCTTTCTAAGGGATGGAAAATGTTTGGTATTTGTGGCCGCTGGCTTTAGCTGTTAGAATCTCGCTGCGGATTAGGGCTTTGCTCTATGAAAAACACATGGTTTTAATTTTGTGAGTTATTATAGACGTGATCAATGACTGAGAAGTGAAAACTGAGTATTTTCGAGTACGAGTGCCCTTATTGTATTGTTAAATTCTCAAGAGTTAGTGTTTATATGATGAAAATGAGTTGGAATTTCTTTGAGAATACTTTTGGATTTCAAAAAGGAAAACGGGAGTAATGATATTCATTATGTTTGCAAATGAAGAAGGCAAGCAGGAAAACGAATTGCTGTCTATAAGACATGCTGTCTGGATTCTTCTTATTAGCCCGTATTGTCTTCTTCATTGATTTGCTTTTGCATAAGCTTAATGGAGGTAAAATTAAAGTTGCTGGACTATGAATTCTCTTTGTGCTACGAGGTTGCTAAATGGATTTAGGTTGTTGTTTGTCTGTGTGATATTGGATTGGAATCTCATTTTGATTGAGTTGTTGGAATGCTGTTATTTGCATTGCCAATCTTTGTAATAATTAATTGAATCTCTAGCCTATATTAATGTGTAAATATTGCTTAATAAAACTCTTTCCTTGAATTATTCTGAATAGGTGTACCATCTTTAAAGTTACAAAAATAGGGTATTATCGTTGTCATTGCTACTCATTAAATTTCATTTCCAAGGAAAATTTATGCAGTCTTTTTCTCTTTCTTTTTTTGGATTAAGTAATAGTTGATGGTGAGTTATGGTTTTAATATCATAGTGTTATTGGATCCAGGTGATGGGGGTAATAGATTTGTATTTATTGGTTTTTTTTCTTTTGGTATGTTAATATTTTAGGGGAACATTAAAATAGTTTGATCAATTAACTCTAAGTTATGCCATTAGAGTTATAGGTTAAAATTTTATTGTTGTTGTGATATTTGAATTCAGTAACTGGTCATTAATTTTTTTTCCTTCGATAATCCTTTTGGGTTCATAGATGAAGTATTTCTAACTGTAAGAGTAGCACTCAAATAAATTCCTTAACCATGATCGAAGCATGAGTCCAATTTTGGCTGTCAATAAAATTTTCTCTCTTCACTATTGGCGTGTCTGTTGGCAACTATATAGATCTACATTATTTGCACTTGGTGTGCAAGTGTCAGATTAGATATTTTTCTGAGACAAATACATTCAATCTTCTTAATTTTGCCTATACTTGGAGGGTCACACCCTGATACCTATGTAATCTTTCAGCTGTCTGGTACAGGAGTGCTAGGAAAATAAAGAGTCCTTGCAACATTACATGGATTGTTCAAGGGTTATTAAGGCTTTATAGTAAATAGAAAGAGTACATTTTTTTCCTTAAGTTATGATAATTTAATGGATATTTACAGCTTAAATTTTCTTCATCCTGTTTATTTTCTTTGAGCAATGCTCTCTGTTTCTGTTTCAAAAGTAACTTTATTGTTAGATAAGACAGAATTTTAAGAATCTTCACTCAAATGTGAATCCTTATTTGTCTACTTTAATCGCTTAAAGAAAACTGGATCAAACTCTATTAGAATTTTAATATATATTTTAAAAATGCTTGGCATCACATTAGGTCCTAAAGGATAGATTCTTTCTCTAAAATAAGATTTGATTAACTATGACTTCCTTTAACTCATTATGCAAATCAATGCATCATGATGTACTTGGAAATATTAAGTGCTTGGTTGTTTGGATTTATTGAAAAGTCTAGCTGTGCTACGTCTTTGGACTGAAATTCAATTCATGTCAAGAAGCATCTTCAACAAGAATCTATAGAAAGATACCAAAGGAAGTGATTAAGGTAACGTACTTCAATAGACCAAAAAGAACACCCTATACTGAAATTTTTGGATGAAATTCTTCATATATAACATACAAGGGCCTTGAATAGATTGTTTACCATTACTAACTTAAGGTCCTAACCTGTGATTACCTGTGCATCCCTTTTATGGCTTTCTAAGCTAAGTAAAGCCACATGCTTATCACTTAAAATTTAAGAATATGAAGGTTTTTAAATAGAATGGTGAAAACTTGTAGCAGTATAGTTATTGTCTTGTACTTCAATGTTTGTGTGAGCTAGTGCCTGGGCCAACGAAGCGCGGTAGTTTTGGGCCACTATCTGGCTAAAGGGGGCAGTTGTAATGGTGGTGGCATGGCAAGTAATTAAGGGTCATCTCAAGTCAAGCTTTACTTGTTCTTTTATTGCTGGTGTGAGATTGAGACTTGAATCATTGGTTGTAGTTTTAGTTTTCTGTATATGGCACAGATAAAGGTTTTTGAGTTGATAGGTGGAGCTAAAAGCTAACTCAGAGGTATAGTCAGTTATATAGGGCAAACCTGTTGTGGAAGTCCAAAGCTAAACATTGTAAAAGACCATGTGAATTAAGAAGATTACATCCTTTAAAAATTTGAGTGTGTGGTAGATTTAGGTTTTTAGTTATTTTCATTGGATATTAATTCAGTTGAAGTCCAACATCTAATGACTCTTTTAGTTAAAACATAAATAAAGTAAAATCATTGTGGAAGTACCTTACTTTAGTTGCCAATTGTTTACTTCATTTTAGAGGCTTGCTTTTCATATTTCATAGAACTACTGATTACTATAGAAGTTTATATTTGTAATTTTTGTTTTTCATATTTATTTTAAAATAATTTTTAATGATTGCCAGGTGGCATTTGATGTGACTGCTCATTTGGAGAGGAGAGGAGAACGTGCCTTACTGGAGCATCAAAGTGATTTGTTTGGTCCTGGCATATCAGTTTAAACTTTTTGGTTCAATGGTTCTTAGTTTATGGAATTGAAACATATATTGTCGCTGCAATTTGTTTTACGGGAACTACGATCTTCTAATTGAAGTCAAGCACACTTATAGATTTGGTGGTCTTTTGTTGTGGTAGCATATAGCCTGTTTGTTTAAATGTTCTTGTGCTTAGGATCCTTGATTCTTGAAATTAGGTTTTACCATGTGCCTTGGGCTTTTGTGTGGGGCATGAGTTTGAGAATAAACTAATTGGTTGGTCCTTACCTATTAGTGTAAGCTTATATAGGTTGAATGGTTCACCTGTACATAACCTTGTTCTTTCTCTATTTTCTTTACAATTATTTCAAACAACAGAAACTTAGTTTTCAGAGCGGGTTTCTTTTCATGCAAACAAAGTTGTTTTTGATATTAATCTGCAAAATAATGCTTTGTGCTCAATTACCGTCTGAATGATTTGTGGCTTGACTTATAAGCCTATGGATGACATGGTTTCTGTGGTATTAGATAGCAACTTAGTTCTTGTTGATGGGTAGCAGAAAGCTTCTCTTCCATTTATTAATTATCTTTAAGTCCTTAAAATGTAGGACAAACTAGTTGGCTAAGACATGCCTGCATCACCTCAATGCCTCCAAAACCTCAGTTGGAATCTTGTAAGATCCTGCAAGCCAAAATATCTTCATGTTTTATACATGTGCTTCACTTGAGTACATGTCTCTAAAGATACTTGTTATTGTTTTCTTCTTTCCTTTTGTTTTAGAAGACTTTAATGTCCCTTCAGTTTCAACAGGTCAAAGAGTTTAAACTTTCTAGCTGTCATTGAAAATTTTATGTTTGTTTTAAGTTTAAAGAGTTACTTAATTATGTTATTTCACTTGGAAGTTGGAAAATTACCTAGATTAATAAACTTTAAATCCCTTTTCAAACTTGTCTCCAGATATTGTTGAAAGAGGGGTACAGTTTGCCTGCAGTCAGCAGATGACTAACTTGTGATTGTTGATCATCTGTCGAGCACAATATGTATCCATGTAATAATTTAAGGAAAATAACATGTATATTTTCTTGAGGCTCGTGCTTTACCTTGTTGGAAGTTGTCCTGTGACTGATATGTACCTGGTGGATCTTATCCTCGTGCATTTAATGCATCATTGGACATAAGTATTACTTTAATTTTCTCATCTTGGAGGGCAAGCCAAAATTTCTTGTTTAGCGCTGCAAGAAATCCATGTGATTTGTTAGTCAGATGCAATGTGCAGTCTAAGATTATTGAAGAAAATATTACTTACCTGATTTATAGCTCTGAAGGGGTACTTTCCTGACTTCCCGGCTCCCAAGCAAGCCGCTTCTGGCATTTATAACTGCACGCCTGTTTTCCTAACGGGTATTGGATTCAGTAGAATAATCCTGGTACCTTTAAGAAATATTGAAAGGTTTCTAGGTTTGAGATTTCTGACTTTTCTCTGTGCAGCTACCAGCGGCTCCCTCTGCACTGAGCACGAGAACTATCCTTTACCTGGCTGCTTGGAATTAATTATTCTAATCATGCGTATGGAGTGAGCTTCAAATTTCATGAATATCCAAATTTCTTCTAGATCTTATTCTTATTTTTCTTAGGATATCGCTTTCTGTATGTTTAGAACTTTCTTCCCAGCCTTCCAGGTTTGCTATGGTGTTTATACTGCTGCTGGATTCTATGAAGAAGTTCTAATTATATTCTGTTATCTATATTTGATGTATGCTTGAATGCCTGCAGTTGACTACAATCTTTTTCACATCCTATGTTATAGTATCACCCTTTGTCGTGGCATTTATCAGTATGAATTATTTGATTTTAAGTTGTTGATTTTCTCCAATATAGTCAATTCAATTACAGATGCAGATGAAATTATATACCCTTTATATTGGACCTTGCGTGTCGTTACCCTGAGAACTAAAAAAGGTGAAGGTACTGAGCCGTAAGGTGTATACTGCTGAAATGGTGACTATCCTTGCTTGGTAGTGTGCTTAGAAAATTTTTGGCCTGCCTGCCTAAATCAGTTACTAAAGCACATTTTTAATACTGTGAATCAGGCAAGTCATTTCTCATTGTGAAATGATGTTGCTTGTTATCCTGTTAGTTCCCTACTAATAGTGTATTAAATTAACTGTTAATTTGATTCCCCCCCCTTCCCCCCTCCCCCCCTTTCTTTCATTTTTAATTTTTTTCTTTTCATCAAGGATGGGCAGCTATCAGAAGAAAGTAAAACCAATCTGAGAATTTTTTATTGCATAACACAAGAAGTAGTACGATTGCAATTTGCAGTCGTAAATCTATTTCGTTGAACACAATAAGTTCACAAGGCAACTAAGTAACATCAGACACAAATAGTGCACTCTAATTATTGCGTAAATTTACACCAGATAACTTGTTTCTCTGTTCATTTTACAGCAATTCTACAGTTTGTTTTGATAAACATTTGATATGAAATTCTTTTCTTTATGCTTAATCTACTATCTAGTAGGTGAAATCTGAAATCTCACTGATAGAAGGTTTAGTTTTTAACTGTGGGCTAGTTTTTGATAGGGTACTGATGATGCCATCCACAGTTGTCAGTCCAGTTTGCTAATGCAGCTGTAATCTGTTTCAAATTTGAGAAGTTATTTGCAGGATTGATATTGAAATAGTTTGCTTTCTTACTTGTTCTGTATGCTGTATTTTTTAAAACAGTATTGAGTGGAAGAATTACCCCAACTTCATTGATTTTGTTGGTGTATCATTCTTAGGAGGTTGGGGCTGGCTTAACTGGAGACAAACAGGTGCGTGCAAATCATATCCATTGTTCAAAGTATAATTTGGGTGCGAGCTTCTGCTAGCTTGATTTGCTTCCCTTGTTCCATAAACCTGAGACCCAAAATTGCACTCTTTAGAAGTATCAAGAGGAAAATTCTTCATTTGCTTAAATTCCTAGATTATTCGCAGGTTTTTGGCCTACTGGTATTAGGTTTGTCAGACTTTGGTGCTATTACTTTCATGAGGACCAAGGAAAAGAGTTATAAAGGAAGCATGAGTCATAGGTGAATATGAGATATTCTTAGCAATTATCAAATTATCTGGGCCAGTACCTTCTTTTGAAGTTCAGTATTTTCTTGGCGGATGAGGTCTACCTTCTTATACAGTTCTAGATTCTCCTGATGAATGAGGTGTCCCTGCATTTCAACAAATGAAAGTTGCTCAACAAGAAAATCTACGAAAATCTGAAAAAAAAAAGCAGCAAAAACTCCCAAGAAACCTTGTGGTTTAGCTCTTTGATTTCATCTGTTAGAATTTGGTCCTGCGTGGAAAAATAACAGAGGAGCAATTGCATTAAATATTATTGTTTGGTTTTGAATGTTATAGGTGAAAATTTCATCCAATTCTGAAGTTGTCATACCTTTTTCATGCGGACACCTTTCAAACTCATTTCAAGTTGGTTATCCAGGTTCTGTAGATCTTTGACACTTAAACCAGATAGTTCTTCTCCCATCAATTTCCTGCAACACATCACAGTGACCATTTGTGTATCTTATGGCATGGAAAATCCCATATGTCATGTTTTAAAGGTTCTTATCTACTATCAAGAGTGTCCTTTGAAGAACTTTGTTAGTAAGAGTGTTTTTTAAGTGATACCATTTTTAATATCATGTTATGTATGTCAATAGTAGATACAGTTGCTGTTGATTTTGTGTTTTATGCTATCTAGTCCTTGAAAATTACTGTTTGGTTTGTTTTAAAATTATACATGAGATCATTATCTTAGGATGTAGATTTTGGCAACAGTGCTGCAACAGATCAGATCCATCGGCAATTGATGAAGATGGGAGACAAGTTTGGGATTGGGCAACGGGCTTGAGTTTTCCTAAGTGCAGTGTGTAAGTAGGTGCTTTTCTTATTCTGCTAGAAACAAGTACAGAAGATGCTTGAGCTTTACATATGATGGGTTCAATCATGAAGACAATGTTATAGGTGTGCAAAATATGATGATTTTTATATACTTGTTTAGGACAAGATTTTTAATAAATCAGAATTGGTCGTTGAAAAGCTCAACTTGCTGGTTGAAAACATAACTCGTAAAACATATTGTTACATAATCAAAAGTTGGAACACATTGGTTAGTCAAATCTGTAAAAGGACCTAACGTTAACCAAGCTTACTGAGGATATGATCATGAAAAGGATTTGTCTTTTTAATAGTGTTGAAGTTATGAGGTGCATCCTGTGTCTTACTGTAAAGAGTGCTGTTATGACATTGACTTTTTCATCTGTGTACTTGTAACCTTAAAGAATGGTAACCGGTAGTACCATTGAAACTTCATTAGAAGAAGCTACTAGTTCTGAAAACAGTGCAGTTAATGCTCAGCAAAAAATTTGAAGTTGGAGCATGATTTATGCTATTAGCAAAATTCACAAATTAAGTGTATCATAGAGTCTACAAAAGTTGCTAACTTCTTACTCTAAATTTTTAAGTTGAGAGATTTAAGGAGCGCTCTGGTGATGTATTAATGGAGGTTTTGAGTACCTGTGGTAGTCTTGCAAGTATTGTAGTTGTTGCCTCAAGCTTGCTGCCTCCTTTTGCCAAAACTATCAAGTACAAAGGCGAATATTAAATTAGAAAGTCATATTCTCGAATGTAAGTATTTTATTGTAAAATAATTTCATAAGAGATGTAAAAATTGAAGTACATGTCAAAGAAGTTAGGAGATTTGTTTCTGTTCAATGACAATGTCACACATAGAGTCTAAATATAACTGTTTGTGAGTAACTTGAACTTGATTTAGTTACTCAGACTGAACTGATTTTGTTGTTATATTCAAGTAAAGTATGCAATTGGAGTGAATATAAGTGGTCTAATACTCAACTGAAGCTAGTTGCAAGCTTAATCTAGCATTTGATTTTTTACATATTTTATTAAAAGAACTCAGGGCTTGGTCTCAAGTTTGAGCTAGATTCCGCTTTGATGATAATAAGATGAATTGATTTGAACATTGACTAACTTGAATGCATGAACAAGGTGGACGCTTTTAAAACTTCTTAAACAGTTAAAGGATTTTAATCTGTTATGCTCTCTTTAACACTGTGTTTGATAGGGAGGAAGATAGAGGGAATGGAGAAAATTAAGGAATGGAAGAGGAAAGGAAAGGAAAGAAAAGCAATTTGTTTTTCCTTCCTCCTGTTTGATAAAGAGATAGAAAACGGAAAGAAAAATGTCAAGGGTAAAATTGTGAATGAATTCTTATTTTTGTTGAATGAGTGATATCCTTTCACTTACAAGGACTGGATTTTGAGAGAACAGAAAAGGTGTAAATCCACTCATTTTCTGCCCTACATACTATTACCCTCCTACCAAATGAAGGAAAATAAACTCTCCATCTTTTCATTCCACCTCCTTTTCCTCCTCTTTCTCTCTTCCAAACTAATTGTTTTTGTACTTAGTGCTAAGATTATGTACGTTTTTGTTGTGCCAGCATTCTACATTAGAGATATTTCTATAATTGTTATTGAAAAAGAAAATGAAGAATTTGCTATATAACTTTGTTGTCCTAATGCTTTCTCTTATATCTCAAGTTACCTCTTGTTATATCTTGTGCTTTCTTGGAATTTAAAGAATAGATTTTTTTTTGGGTAAGTAATTTAAAGCAGACATTTATGATCTCCTCTGATTCATTGGTTTCTTAAAACACTGATTAGATGGAGTGAATATTTCTGTTGATGTAGTGATTCTAAGAGAAGTTTTAGCGCATTAAGATTTTATTTTGAATGAAGAGCATGCTTTTTGAGATTTAAGAGTCTAGACTGATAATTACTGTTATTGGGATAAGTTATGTATTTTGCTAACTGTTGAAGTGTGGTGGTTTATTGTAAGAAAGCTTACTTTGAAATGGATTTGGTGGTCTAAAGGTCATCATCAGCTTAAGATTGTGGTTGTTATAAAAGACTTGTAGTCATCATTTGAGCCATAAGTGTTATTACTCGATGTCCTTGTGTGGTTGGGATTAGGCTGTGGCTGTCTCTATGAGGAGTGCTCATAATCATGCAGTGAGCCCATAGAGAAAGGCATATTATTGGTAAGTTTGCCGATTCAAGATTTCCTAGCATTGATTCCTTTGTAAGTAAGGGTGCCTAGGCCATGCCCTAGCTGACTTGTCATTATTGGTAATGCTTTTACTGTTTATCCATTTATGTTAAAAAGAGGTTATAAAGGTTGTCAGCATGTGCTGGCTAAGAGATTGGCTATTGTAAATAATTTAGTTTTTTAATTTCATAATGCTTTTGTTGGGGGGAGATGGAAGGGGACTTGGATTTGCTGAGAATGATAAATGGTTATGGATAGCTTATTGGAGACATCTAATGTTTGTTGGGAGAATATATTTCTTAGTAGGGTAAAATGTTATTTATCCTTGTATGTCTTTGAAGTCACTGTCACCCCATTCTAGTTTTTATGCTTATTGTGTGTTCAACCTTAGTGCATTCTAAGGAAGAGCAGAAAAAATGTTATTTTCTAACATTTTGGAGATATAGAAGTATGATCAGTCTTTATATGTTATTGCAACTTATTCGTGTTTATATGTTTATGATATTGGTGTTTAATTTTTTTGGAGTTTTCATATTATTGGTAGGTCCAAGTTCTATATGGGCATTTTTTTTGGCATTTTCATATTGATGCCTCTTCTCTTGCATTTGTCTGCTATTTGGCCCTCATACACATTAAGTTTTCTCTTTCTTTTTATTTTTTGAAAAGTAGCAGTAAGTTTTCTCTTTGATTTGTACTTGAATGTGAATATTGGCATTTATGAACTTTTTATGCTAGAGAGCGGGTAAACAATTCACCGCTCACAAGTAAATGGGTCAGAAATCAAGATTAGATTTTGGCTTGGACTGATTTTTCCGCTTACTACCCAAAGCCTGCTGGTGAATACTATTTTTATTCTGCAACACTGAGAGCACTTGCTCTGCAGGTAGAAGAAATTTGTTAAAGACTTTGTTGTAGACTGCACCATATATTTAATATTGAATTCATTGTGACGACGCCCATATTAGCTTGTTAACCTTTTTTAAGGAAGATGTTTGAAAGAATAATGATATTTTCATGCTAAGTGTTTTATCTTCCAATATGTCTATATCTTGGATGGCCCTGACAATGTCATGATACAGGGTAATGCCAATTGATGGCAAGGTATGTCTCATGAAAAATGATTATAAGCTATTTCAGAAAAACAACCACCAATGTACTAAGTGCATGTTAAAGCAGTTGAGTAGATAGACTTGTTAATTTGAAAAAGCATGCTCTGAAGTTGTTTATGCCTTCATGAATCTGACTTTAGACTAAAAAGAGATACTTGATCCAGTAATGCAAAGCAAGGAAACTTTAAGGTTGCCTCTAGAAGTAGTGTACTGACATATTAGAGGTAAGAAATAGTGGATTTTGCTGATCGTATTATAGGATTGTTGCTTTAGATATAGAGCAGAGGGTGGCAGCTTACATGTAGGAATGACACTAGTTGGCTAGAAGTTCTAGCTTTGGAGTCTGTTGAACAGAACCTGCAGACGCGGGGGAAAAACAATTGTAAGTGACTTTAGGTACTCTATAGGGAGGTTATGATATTTGACTTGTAATGGTACTTCAGAGAGTATTTAACTGTCTAGGATCTCAGTGGGGCAAAGGACACGCTATCTGCAATTTAAACAGTATGATTTTCTCGAAGATCCTAAACTCTACTAATATCATCAAGGATAGTTTGATAGAATAGCTCAATATCTGGCATCCCTTCCAAATAGTTTGAGGCATCCCATAGGTAGTTGCTGTAATTTTTACTTCTTGACATTAGTCAAGATTGACATGCAACAGCTCTCTGGAAGATTCAAGTATGGATGCCTTCTATTAGCATAATGTTGCTAAAATTTCATCAAGTAGTTGCTCCTCTACTTGTGGAAAGAGTTCTGGTTCCTCATCATGCTATTTGGTAGAAATCTTGATGATGCAGCAGAAATTCATTTTATAGTTGACTTGAGGCACCACCAATGTACTAATTTGGAGACACTGAGAGGGTTCTAGTGATAAGTCTTGTCAAGCTTCTAAATGTCATGATGGTTTCTGAGATCTTCGAAGGTACCTTTGACTGAGGAAGAAATACTAGGATGGTTTTCTATATTGTTGGTTATACTGAAGGATATACACATATACTTGGATGGTTTTCATTTTTCATCATGCTGAAGTTTTCCTCAGACATTTTTTTTCATTTAGAAGTGCTAGAAGCTCAATTCTTAAGCAGTTATCTGAGACGTAGCTGAAGTTTGAAACATTTTTGTGGCATTGTTTCTCCTCTATCTCTTCTGGCTTGTAGGCACTAGACATTTTCCTCAGCATTATGGCTGGCTTCTATACACACATTACAATGTTCCATTCATATATCTTGGGGCGCACATGCTAGAAACAATGCTTTGTGTTCCATGAGAAGTAACGGCAGCCCTGTATGCTATTTTTGTAACACATCTATAAACTTGGTATGCATGGGCAAAATCAGTTATGTATCCTTATCAATCTCTTTGCTTCATCTAAACTGCTGTATTTTGATATGTTGACCTGTACTCTTTAAACCAATATCCAGCATCCAGGATGTAATTCTTGCTTTACAGTTTATCAAATGATAGTTGGAGTGATATTCCAAAACCCTCAAATAGGAAGCTTAAGTTGCAATATTCTATACACCTGATAGCTCAATTGAAACAAATTAACTCTTAGGTGGATTATGTTATATAACTTGCTACTTACATCATCTGTTCCTTGTTCTGCAGATGCAAACAGAAAGGCATTAGCTCTAGGCCTTACTTTGGTGCAAGCAGATTTTTATGCTATGCACTATAGGATAGGGATTGTTCTTTTTCTTTGTGGGGCAGCATCTATATCTTAATGGTAGTTTGTGGAAAATGAGAAGCTGAGGTCCCTAAGTGACTATCGAAGATTGGAAGATAATGGATTTCCTATTATCCGGCAGCATTACTTTCCTTGCAATGGTCTTTGTCTTCCCTTCCATGCTTCACTTGATGATAACAAGGTAATCCAGGTTTGTTTCTTCTGTTTCTCTTTCTTTTCTTCGATGGTCCTCCTTCAGAAAGAATGTTGAATATGAATGTCAGCATCACATGGGCATGGTTTCTGTGTTTTGTTGGCTGATTTATCCAATTTATGCCTACGTTTTGTAGTTTTCCATGTACCTATTGCTATTCTACTAAGAAAGTTGAGACCTCCCTGGGGTTAGGAAAATTCCTTTTGACTTTTGAGGCATGAAGTCACAATGTTAGAAGGTTTCTTTGGAACCGTAAAATCTAAAACCCATGTAGATGATCTCACTCATCAGCCGTACTGCTACTAAAGATTAAAAACACCTCAGTCTTTCTGGCGTACGCTGATGTTTATTAGACCTTTTACCAAGACAGTAACTTGCTACTTCGCCACCTCAACCGGTGTTATGCTCAAGAATAATGAAAAATTCAGTTGGAAAAAATTGAAAAAACCTCAGTGATGGCTGACTGCTTAATCTAAGCATTGTGAGACATGCAAAAATATTGGGTTAACCAAGAAGTGAAGTTGAACGGTGCACTGAGACAAAAGTCGTTTATATTGTAGGGTTTATATTTTTAATTTAAAAGGTATGCCTACTAGGAAGATAAAAGTCTTTATTTATAAGTTTAAAATTTATTTCTTTTCTTACTTGCATGATATTTATGTAAATTTTTTTGTTGTATTTGTTTTTATTTGTAGAGGAAAGATTCACTTTAGTTTGAGTTTTATCTCGATTTTGGTATCTTTTATGAGGAGTCTTACGTTAGTGAAGTGAGGGTCTAATATCATTTGTCTCGAGGTTATACTTTTAACTTAAAAAACATGCTTATTAATTGAAGAAAAGTTTCGTAAATTTAAGATATTTTTTTTTCATTATTTATTGATGTGAAATTTTTGATGCATAGAGATATTTTTAAAAATTGAATTATGGATGTCTACATTGTACATAGGGATTAGGGAGTGTTAATCGTACATGTCTTCTATGCTGCATTGCCTGGTTTGATGATATTCATTCCTTGAATAGCTATGGTAAGGTGTTTTCCCCGTTCTCTCTTAACTCTATCACTAAACCAATCGAAGCTTAAACAAGCTAAACTCTCAAGCTGTTAGCCAATTACTCCATTATATTCAAGAATATTTTAGTAATATTCGTAACGCTTGCCTAACAGAAAGCAACCAAAAGTTGACATGATGAATGCATGCACACTGCAAACAGTAATACAGTAAGATTTATGAAGTAAATTGAAGCAATTGATGGATCAAATTACCTTGACTTCTGAAGCAGGATTCATCAATTGATGATATTCTTCTTTTTGCTTCTTGTAGCGTTCGATAACAGATTTCATGCTGATAAAATGAACAAAACGTCAGTATTCCAATTCTGTCATGGCACTTCATAATTTTTGCTACAATTTATGAATATGAAACTAATCTGAAGTAGGTAATATGGATGTAAGAGCTTAAATTATTTCATTTGCCACTATTTCCTGCCAGTATGTTTTGTGTATTGTACCTCATTAATTTTGTGAAAGGCTTAGGTGTTACTGAGCATTATTACAACAGGTGCTAATGCCTAATAATGAATGAAATGTTTATTCTTAAAAAAAAAAAAGAATGAAACGTAATAAATGGTAAATTAATGCAATCAGATATTCTGAAATAAATGATAAATTAGTGCAAAGGTATCATCTTTAATTTTCAACAATAACCGACTGTGTTCATTAGAGAAAAAAAACATTACAAAGCTTTTATGGGTCTACCCCAACAAGTCAGTCTTTGATAAGCAATTTTGATATGGGATATCTCCTTGTTTGAACGTTGCTTTTATTATTGCTCTACCTCCTTGAGGTTCTTGCTAATATTGTTGTATCTTTCAAATCCCCTAATTTCTACATTAGATAAAAGTAGTGCTTCTCTTATAATTTATTTATTTAAAAAATATTAGTTAAAAATTTTCAGACTTAATATTACGTCTAACAGTCTTATAGCATCTACTATGAGAAAGATAATATCAATATAACGATACTTTTGGGAGGCTTCCAAATTGCATAGCTAATGCAAGAATTTAAAAGATTTAAAATTTGTATCTGAACATTTAATTAAATAGTTTGTATATGTATCTTTTATTTAAAAAATTAGATTCGAATTTTCTTTCTTCCTATGTTCATGCTATATGAGATAAAGGAAACTGAAATGCATGTACTAGGGCTGGAAATTATCCTATAACAACCTAATAATTAAGTTTTCAAAGCTGCATTATTAGTGCCAAAAATATATAAGCATTAACAAATAATTCACTTAATTATTAGGTCGTTATGTGGTAGTGAGGGCTTTTGTTTGAAGAACCAAACAATATTCTTCACATTTTTTTTTAGTTGGAGGAAAGGGGATTGAATCTTTCTTTTTTTTAAGTAGGAGTTCATGTACTAATCAATAAACTAAATATTCAGGTGTTATTCTCGACATCTTTTAGTTCTTGATTAGATTTAAAATTAATTGAAGTGTTTATTCTTAATCTCTTTATAGTCATCTTCTATCTGATATGTGTACTGTTGTATACTGTAAGTTAGACAATACAGTTAAAGACACAGTAAAACTTATTAACATTTAACAAATGCATTCGAATAGATTAATTTTTCATTTTGCTATTTCTAACAGAAAAGTAAAGTCATAAAACAGTTGCTTAGCAAAAGGGTAACATCGTATGGTATAACATAAAACAAAAAGGAGCGACTAATTAATAAAGTGCAAGTTTTTTGTTGAATATTCTCACTAAAAAATTATGGTGAGAACTTAAAGTACAACTAAAGAATTAATTTAATTGTTTTGGTTCTTTTCTTTTCCCCTCATTGATAAATACATGAATCCCTACATTTAAAGAGTCAGGTAATTTAAATATTATATCACTTTGATGCATGTACGATGTAATAATAAAGGACAAATTCCATAAACAATATAAAAATTAAAATACACGCGATACAACCTACAACATTGCAAAAGGTCATTAATAATTTTTGTTGAATGACGAGGACAGCTCTTACTGATGGATGATTAACTCATCAATGGAGGACGGGGAAAGATCAAGTAGGAGAAGGCAAATGCATGTTGGTTCATTAACAACGCTAACGGTCAATAGCTAACATTCGTGGAGTAATCTTGTAATTAGTTACTAATTTTTTCATGGTATTGCCTTTTGAAAATCTAATGTAGCTATAAAAATAAGTGACATTTTTGGCAACGGATTACTAATTGTAGATGTTCGATTTTAATTAACGTATTATTATTTGTTTCATATAATCAAAACAAGTATCTAGCAGTTATATCACATAAAAATTAGTGAAAGTAACTTAGAATAAATCGTAGGATTTATGTGTTATTTTTATGATGTTTTACAGAGTTTAGTTTAATGGATTAAATATGGAAATTGTTAAGGAGGCTTCATCTTAATATTTCCTTAAAGTATCTGTGCTTTATCTCTTACCTTTTTCTTAAGAAAATACGTGATATACTACTAAATGTTACTAAGCTCTACTATCGAAAATATCCACACACTATCCAATATACATAGTGGTACAAAGTATTTTTCTCACAATGCTTAATAAGTTGTTTGTCCCATAAAGAACGTGTACTTTCCATGATGAACATATTTCTCTATAAAAAACATGTTATCCCTAAATGTGTTCTTCCTTTTTATCCAATAATCACTTTTTACCAATTGCTCTTAAGAAAAAGTTTTTACTAGGTGTACATATAGGAACTGGACAATTCAGTAGAGTAATTAGAAATTCATTAGATTATTCTCTAAAGGCTATCTCTAAGCTCTTCCTAAATACTCTATCTTCAGCTCTTTCCAACTTATTCTCTACCACGCTCCGCCATCAAGCCTCCTTCATCTCTTGCCACAATGCACTTTAACTCTTTAAAGACTACTCCAATCTTTCTTTCTGCTGTCTTTAATGTATCTCATTTTACTTGTTGCAACATATCTTCCCTCTTTACTTGCAAAACCCTTTACACTAACTAAACTTGTAGCTAAGTTAATAGCGGAATCTATAATGGGTTATAGATCAATGCTTCAACTAACCTGCGTTCAACTTTGCTATTACCTACACATCAAATTGGAAGGGAAAATCATAGCAATATGATAATCTTGACTAAAATGGCAATTTGGTGAGAAAGACATCTTTCCATATCTTCCATCCTCACCTCACGCCTTCTTATGTTTTGGAACAATTAGATTCACACTTTGTAATATATTTACTTATTTTTCAAACAATTTCCCCCCAAACATTAGGCTGTGAGAAATCATTTCTTGTAATTTGTTCATTAGTTTGGGAGGGAAGGGATGCAACTATTTACCTGCCTGAATCTTGCATATTATTAGTTATATGAATGTTTTAATTTCTCCAAAAGAATTTTCTAAGAGTTTGATATGATTTGTGTGTAATTATTGAGTTTTTTATTTTTTATATTTCATTTCTCTTTCTTTACACAAGCTATAAGTTAAGTCAGGAATTTCAGCCCAACCCTAATTCAGTTCAGAATGATGTGTCATCATCATGTGCAGTGCTATATGCTTTCCATAGTCCTAGCAATTGGTATAAAGCAATCAAAGCCAGCCTCATTTTATATAAAACTCACAATATTCATTTGTATTGAAGAATTATATACGTAAAAGTTCACTTTTACGGATTACCATGAAAAGAACATATAATTGTGGAAGGACCATATACTATAAAGTTCACTTCTATGGATTACAAGATGCATAATTTTTACTTCTATATGAAACAATTATGTTCAATTTTGTGTTACATTTTAGGTCATTAATTCATTTTAATCAAATATAATTTTACTTGTTAGAATTTGTTTTTGTTTTATAACAAATTTTTTAAAAAGTAAAGATTGACACTACAACAAATTTGACTTAATACAACACATTTTTAAAATGTGCTACTAAAATATTTTTAATAATACTTTTTTTTAATGATTTTTAGAAGATTTTTTTATATCTAACCTTACTATATAAATTTTTAGATGCATTAAAAATAAAATGTAATGATAAAAATTACATACACTAGCAAAAGTTGTATTTTTTTATATTATTATTAAATGTAAAAAAAGTGAAACTAAAAATTTAAATACTTGCATTTTTTAAAATTTTACTATATTAAAAAAATCGTCTAAAGTGGAATGATTAAAACTCAATTTTTTTGTAGTGTGAGAAGCAAACTACAAAAGTAAAAAAGCAGTAGTTTTAACTAAAGCTTTATTAACTTATTGCCTCAAATAGAAATGTGTGGTCAGTCTCAATTTCGGGATCGGATTTTTAAGCTAAGAACTTCCTTGTCGATGGAGAAGATTGTCAGCATAATTAATTATATTGTTGTAAAAATGAGATATGAATATCTTTTCTTTTTCCCTAGAAGGAAAATGCCCAACGAAATGTTATAGTGCTGAATCTCCAGAGTCCAAGCACTGGACTCATTGACTGGATGTTTCACAGTTTTTAAATGCTCTCAATTGCATAAGCTGCATATTATATGATCCTCCAAAACACAAAAATCATTCTATTTGATTTTCCTCTCAACAACTCTAACCAATATATCAACAACCCTTTTAGAATTTTCCAAAGGCACAGCCCATTTGATACTAAAGAATGGAGAAGACCATGCATCTACCCTCTCCAGCAACAGAATGATGTAAGCCAAGATTTTCAACCACCATCCTCAAATTTTTCGTTCTTTTCGGTCCAAGTGTGTATATATATTCCCCCTGTGAAATTTTAGGACTCCTTACTAGATTTTCAGGAGTTGAAAATTCCCTTTATTTACGAGTCCTTCACAGGAAGCTCATATTAAGTCTCTTTTGTATCGAAATGCATGTATAATAATGCATCAATATCAATATGCGTAAATCCTAAAAATTCTTAAAAAAATAAAAAACTAGTCAAAGGTATGAAGTAATTGCAAGCCTATCCATTATGGGACAATAAAGGCAAACAATATTGTAATATCTAGTTTACAGGCAACATACTAAGGTTCCAATTTTTCTTCATACCATTTTCTCCAATGAATGAAGGTAAACTAAGGACGTTATAGTTGTATGTAAGATTATAAGCACATTTGCCACTCTTTGAACTCAGGAAGAGCTAGAAGATGAAGAAGGATGGTAAACTGAGGTCATCAGAATGAGGATTACTGATCCTCTTAATACTTAATTCTAGTAGTTAATATTGATGTTTTCTAAACTCCAAAGAAAAACGAGACTTACAGTTAGTTTAAAGACGAAGTTTCATAAGCTTCCTGAGGTACATATATAAACGCAATGATAAAAAATTCATACTATTAATAGATGCTTGAAGTCTTGCAGGTACAGATGCTTATGAAGCCTTTCCTTGTCTGTTGATGTATTTTAAAGTTTGCTTTTTCCATCCAAGTTAATTTGCATTCGGATGATTTCCTTTGTTCTTAAAAACATTGTTAGTATGAACTTCGATTTGTAAGTAAAAAGATAAGTTAAGGTAGGAAAGGGGTAAGTTTGTGTTGTGATTAGAGCTTGCTCCTTTCCATTAAAAGAAAATGATCTAATTATAACATGCAATATCTTTTATGTTTTTGAGTTACTGCTTCATTATCTATATAATCTCAAACTTCCCAACTTAATATTTGCATGCATGTTAACAACAATGGAGGGAGACCATCAACTTCCTAAATCAAAAGGTGGCAAACTCTATTTCATGTTAACCTTAAAATGAAGGGGAAGAAAAGCCAATCCGTATCCTATAGAAGTATTAAATATTTCTATATAAATCTAAACACCCGAAAAAAAAAAAGAAATTTAATTTACTTTTATATATATATATATATATTATATAGAGTAAAAGAAAAAGAACATGAGATAAAAAGAAGAAAAGATCAGATAACAAATTAAATAAACAAAAATGTCATAAATAACACACAAAAAGAAAAGGATAGTGAGGAAGAGAATCTGACCTAGTGCTGGCATAATCATAGAGCTTGCCGGTGCTGGAAAAGATAATCAATCCGACTTCAGCGTCGCAAAGGATCGATAACTCCCTAGCCTTCTTCAACAATCCATTCCTTCTCTTTGAGAAAGTCACTTGCCTGCTTGTTGAATTGTCAATCCTTCGGATCACAATCTTTCCTCTACCCATCTCTCTTTCCTTTCTTCTTTGATATTATAAAAGAAAAACCTTAGGGTTACTCCCTCGCCTCTCTCTTTTCCTAGATCGCCCCGATTCCAGTCCAACAAAACCTCAAAAATGTCATCAAATCAATGTCGAAAAACAAAAAATAAAAACAGACCCCCCAAAGCCAAACAAGTATACTAAGAATAATAACAGTGCTAATTAAACCCAAGTCAAATAGGGAAAAATGAGTTTTCGGCTTTAAAAAAGGATTTAGAAGATGTATTTGCGAAGAAATATAAAAGACAAAAGCTTACTTGATTTTGAGCTAATTATGGAGATAGTTAGCCGAAAGATAACAAAAGAAACGCACGTCTCTTTTTTTTTTTTTTTTTTCTCTTTTGGGGGTGGGGTGGGGGTGTGAAGAAAGCTTTGAGAAAGGAAAAAAATGGAACCCAAGGGAAAATATATTATGCTTTAAATGGAAGCTGAAAGCGGTTTTCTAACATAAGTAAACCTTCTTTAGACGAAAAACATGGAGCCCGAAACTGCTTAGCGGTTTCACTGTAGAACCTCACATTAGGTCCTTGGGATCACTCTCGAGAGTGGCTAGATATTTTTTCTACTCGCTTAAATGGAGTGGCAGCTGTCGTGGTGAATCAAACAAAGTCGTGTGGACCTCGGCGGGAGAATCGGGGGAACTATTGGAGCAGCAAAGATAGATTTCTATAGACTAGCGTCGGATTGGCAACGCGAGTAGGTAATATCGTACTCGAGAGGGTATGAGAAGAAGTATTCTCGGACTTTCGGAATACCCCAGGATTCGTGGGTAAGCGGGTGTGGAAGTAGTGGAAAAGTGGAAGTGATGGCACTGTAATATTGACGTATAGATTATTGACACGTTTGCTAACAAAACCGAGGGCCGTGCTATTATTTTATTTTCAGGCTTTTAGCCGTTCTCTGATTGGTTGGACAGACAATTGCGTCACTCCTATTATTGACGAATGTATCAATTTTCTTTTGGTGGATTTTGAGCTTGCCGGGTTTCCACATGTATAATTTTTTTTTTCAATTTTTATTCCCATTTCCATGAAAATTAAGACTTTAATCAATCATAATGAGTTAAGCCAAATCCCACCTTGATACAATGATCAAGAGGTTAGCATGGACGGTGATTTAAATTTACATGTGACAGAAGTTCAATTTAATATTAATATCATTTAATTTAATGAGTTGAATTTGAAGTTATGGTTTAATTTTATTCGTAGTCAAGTTTGCTATTATTAAATTGAAAGAACAAGTAGGTGTGAACAGATTAAGTAAACCAAAATTAATAAAAAATCTTATCACCAATAATAGTTAATGAATTTTTTTTATTAAATTTGGTTTAGAGTAGGGAAGGACTTATTTGATACCGGTTAAGAGGAAGAGGAGGAGTTAAAAGTTATCTCAATTTGTTTAGGGTTTTTAAAATATATATAGAGATAAGAAAGTTTAAAGAGTAAATGAGATTGCGCCTATCTTTCAAAAAAAAAAAAGAAATTGCACCAAAGAAAATAAATAAAAAAAAAGGAGAAAATGAGATTTGAACCTTAAGAGGCTTCCTAAGAGAATAAAACTCCTCAAGTTAAACTTAGCTCTTAATTATACCAAAATGATAATCACTAACAATTTAAGCTATTCTGGTAACAAAAAAATAACTTGATCATGCTTTCAATTTCAAAACTATTTTCATAGCAAAAGGAAAGAAAGAATGTGAGGTTGATAATTTATATCCTCTATATATGTATAATCAGCTGTTGGAGTTAACAAGAGATGGGAATATATAGATAAATAGATAATTATGTAATAAAGGATCTACATATTATATGAGGAATATTAAATAAGGCAATATAAAGTGGCTTACCATATATCTTAAAATGTGCTTTAATTACAGTATTATGTGTACATTAATAAATTAACTTTAATCACTCAAAAATGTCTAAAGGCTTAGAAAACTAGTGCAATTAATGGTTGGCAATCCTTCGTGGAGGGCAATAATTTAGGTATGAAGGCTTTCGCTCCAATTTCCCATATAGGACAGTTCAAAGTTAAATATAGAAAAAGAATGGAGTTGATCATGCAGGTGAGCAAGTTGGTCTGCAAGTGGCAAACTGCATCGAAGAAAAATATACGCATGGAAGTCCAAAATGTTAGCAACGAAAGTTGTTTTTTTTCGACTTCAATAAGGTTTCCTAAAGAGGCAAACTGAGCCATGTGTGAGCAAAATCTTCCAAGAAAAGGCTTATATCTGGCTCTTTCTTGCAACCAGCTTGTTGGTTGGGAGTTGCAACTATCAATGAGCAACCTCCCATCTGATTTCCAAGGAAAAAAATGGGAAATTGAAGAGAGAAGAGACAGAGAGAGAGAAACAATTTTTATTTTATGGATTGCACCATTCAATTCGGTATTAATAGCAACAACCACTTCCCTTTACATTTTCTTGTGAACAAAATAACTCCCACTTGCATTTGTTTTTTAAATTGAAGAGCAATATATATATATTTATTTATTTTACCTTTTTTAATTGGAAAATGATGAAAGCAGAACATATTCTTCATGCATGTGTTCTAATTACTCTTAAGGTTGTATGATCTTAGGTTTATTCTCTTTGCATATTATAGTGAAAATAATAGAACCTATTATGATTTGGGGAAAGCCTTGATCTGCTAATATCCACTCTTTTAGACTCTAGAGGAATGAAATATACCCCACTCTTTACTTCTTTTACATCTTCCGGAAATATGCTCATAATTGCAGTCAAATTTTGAAATATTAGCGCATTGATTAATAATTATATTAACCTATTTCAACTTGATTAAAAAATGTCACCATAATCTTCTTTTTAAATGGATTTGTGAAATTTTCATAATATATGTCCAACAAAGCATATACTGCTACTAACTTAATACTCAACTTTACCAACATTTTGAACCAGAAAAAAAAAATAGCAACATGACAAACAAAAAGGTTTCGACTTATAATATGTTATTTTAAGCCAAATGCGTTATGCCTAGCTTGTATGATTGGCAAAATGCTACAAGTAAATATATACATTTCGCCAGATTTGGAATCTGTAAATGGAAATTTAAAATATAAACACCCATCGTGATTGCATGAACCGAATTAAGCAAAGTGGTGGCCCAAGATGATGCAAAAGGCTCTACAGAATGAATCCCTGGTGTAGGTAGCATTTGGTGCCCTTGCAACTGCAATAATATTAGTAAATCAAAATTGCTAGTTAATTAGCAGTTCTGTACCAAAATAAAACATTAAAAAATAATGTTATTTTCTATGGGACATATGAAAGCCTATTCATAAAAAGTCCAATGTAATACTTAATTAGGAAATACGAATGCATAGATTCTTCCCAATTAGGAGTATTAATATAGTAGTAAAATGAAATATATGTTTTTTTTTGGGATATATATATATATATATATATATATATATGGATGTGTTTTTCTATTTATATAATTGATTACTCGAAAAGCATAAAGAAGAATAGCTGAGTTGGAAGCAAAGAGCTTCGAAATAAATGTAGGTTAAAGAAGAATAAAGGCACGTCTTCTTTAAGCACATGCGGAGTTAGAGTTATATAGAAAACATGGTTATGTATAAAAAAAGCCTTCCTTACTATATATGAATAAAAAATTATTACTACCATATCTATAAAAATTAAGTCAAATAAGTTTGCATAACAGAGAGAATTGAGTAGTATACCATTCTTTTAATTTTGGGTAGTTTTGATTGTGCAAACATTATTATACTTTTATTGAGCCTAGAGGTCCCTTTATGTTTGTGCAAAAATAAAAACGTATTCTTTCTTCTTTTAATCTTATTATATTAGGCTCATGAAAACCATTAGTTATTATTAATTAGATTACATAACAACAGGGTAATCTTCTATCCCTTCTTTCATCCCTTAAACCTTAATATTCATCTTCATTCATTTGAATTTGAAAATGTTTAATTACCAGTGTATTTGATTAGGAGCACTTGTAAATATTTTATATGAGAATTGTTAATTAGTATATCAAAACCAAGGGTGGAGGGTAGTGTATTTATGGGGGATCAAAATTCTTAAATTTTTTTTATATTTTTTTACTATATATTTGCTACATTGCCAAGAGTATCCTCTAACTTTTGATAAATTAATTGGTTTAATGATGTTCAAAGTTAGGCATCATCTTCCGTCCTTTTAAATTAAGGGGTTTAGGGCTTGAAGCTTATAATATAATTTTTATTGGTTTTTGATCATCCTCTTTCTTAATTTTCATTTAAGGAATCAAATGGCATATAGTTGAATAAATTATTTTTGACTTGGTGGATACAATATATAATCTGATAATGAATAGTCATATATAATTTTGTTGCAATAATTATTTTATTTTATGCTTATCGTGTAATAAGTATTGATATTAATGAACATGTTATATGATTTGTTAGAGGACAATTGTTTGTAATGTTGTAAGAGCATCCTTCTTTTAATGTTATATGATATTAATTTATATGGAGTTCTCTTCGTCTTTGACCCTCAACAAAAGTTGCTCTGTCCCTGATCAAAACCAAGATTAATTCAAATAGAAATTAATTCATCAACTTTCCTCTTGATGCATTGCTATCTCCTCTGTTTTTTTTTTTTTAAATGACATCTTTTTTAACTTTTTGTTACAATTAAAATAAGAAAAAGAGATTTGCGTTTTCAAAGTTTGAAATCAAAAACAGGGTTTACTATATCAAGGATAGCTCCATATTCCCATTCTTAGTTTAGGCTTGGGGCCGGCCATGACGACACAGCTTGTGACGATCCATTCCTTCTCCTTCCTCTAGCATATGCATGATGCAACTATGGGCTTACGCACGTGGAAGACACAATGATCGCCCACCACTAGTTTATGCTTTCGCACGCCTTTTTCGAGCTTAACCCAATGGGAAACAGTCGTACAAATGAGCCATAAGCTATGAGTTTTACAATGACTGAGAGG